CCTAAACGCCTAAACCCAAACCCCTAAACCCTAAACCCCTAAACCCTAAACCCCTAAACCCTAACCCCTAAACCCTAAACCCCTAAACCCAAACCCCCTAAACCCTAAACGCCTAAACCCTAAACCCTCAATCCCATCGGAGGATTGGGGAAGAGACGGGGCCCCGAATTTGGATGTCCCAGCCGGTTTCCCCAGAAGCCCTGATCGTCTTAGACTTTAGAGTTTAGGGTTTAGGGGTTCAGGGTTTAGAGTTTAGGGTTTAGGGGTTTAGGGTCTAGGGTGTAGAGTTTAATTAGGGGTTTAGGGTTTAGTGTTTAGTAAGGTTTCCCCAGAATCGACTTTGGTTTCCGGAGGACGGGCACAGCTGCGTGAACTGGGCCGTAGCTTTACACGAGGAGGCCCGCGGAATCTGGGCTTTGGAATAGCATACTTCAATACCTTTTTTTGGGGATCTCCTAAACCCTATAAACCCTAAACCCTAAACCCTGAAAGTCTATATTTTTTCCCTGCTTACTTCAAAACCCAGGAATCGATCAGCTTTGGAAGGCGTCACGTCTGAGGTTCGGGTTTAGGCCGAGGAAGGATGTTCGTAAAATGGGGGTTTCCGAAAATAGGGGACCCTAATATAGTACTCCGAATAATAGGATCCATATTATAAGGACCCCAAAATAAGGTACCCCTAATTTTCGGAAACTCCCAAGTGTGTATTGAGGCCGTTTAGGGTTGAGGGTTAGGATTTCGGGTTTTAGAGTTTTAGGGTTTAGGGTTTAGGATTTGAGGTTTCGGGTTTAGGGTTTAGTGTTTATCGGGTCTAGGGGGCCCTAAACCCTTGAAAGGGCTGCGTAAAGGAAGTAGATCAGCAGGGAAACGAGCATTCGGCTGCATTTGGGGTGCATGCAAGCGGGCACGGGGTTCTCACGCAGTAAGGCTTCAGGGCAAACCCAAAGACTTGTTAAAGGGTTTAGGATTTAGGGTTTAGGGTTACTGCTACACCCTTAATGAAACCCCAAAAATCCTAAATCCTACAATCCAATAGCAACCTTGAGCCCTACATACAGGATCGCGCGGTGAGGGTCTTCTGGAATTCATGTTATCGGTACCCCCCTATAGACCTTAAACCCTAAACCTTATACCCCACAACTACGATCCTTAACTTTAGGCTTTGGGGTGCTGTTTTTGGATACCTTCGCCCCGGCGATGACTTTCTAGGGGCCCGGGAGAAAACGCCCCATAGTAGCCAATAGGGTTCCCTTTATTTGGGGGTTTGGAGGTTTCGGGACTTTAAAGGAGTTTCTTGGGAGTATGCAAAGGCTCATGGGACGCGGTATCTATGGTCATGAATAAGTTGGAGATACTCCAATTGAGGTACTTGCAACCTTATGGTCCTCCCAGGAGGAGGGTTTCGAGCTTCGGCGTTACTTGGAGGCTCATGGGTAGTGAAAAGTGGGGTTATAAGTCCCCTAATATGGGTTATAACTATAGTTACCTTACTTATAACCCTACTTATAACTACCCATGAACCTTCAAGTACGGTCCTCCCAGGAGGAGGGTTTCGAGCTTCGGGGTTGGGTTTCGGGATTCGCGCTCTTTCTGCCTTTTCCTGGTGCTGGGCCATCTTTGGAGGAGAAGCCACTCTTCGCCACGAATCCGCGACAGCCTCTGCCTGACGACGCCCCTCGTCCGCGTTGCTTAAACCCTCAACCCGAAGTCCTGAACCCTAAAGGCCCTAAACCCCTAAACCCTAAACTATAAGTCCTAAACCCTAAACGCCTAAACCCTATAAGCCCTAAACCCTAAACCCTAAAAACTTCATAACATAAAATCTCCTAGCCCAGGGTTCTCGTTCTCTGGACACCGGACACCAAAATCTCAGGTGTGTTGTAGGTGCTTTGAGTGCTGGTGCTGTGGTTGCTTATCGAGACCGTTTCTTTCGGTAAGCAGCCCGAACTGCAGAGGCTTTAGAGTGCCCTTTTGGGATCATTCCCCCTAACCCCTAAAGCCCTAAAGCACTAAAGCCCTAAACCCTAAGCCCCTAAAGCCCTAAACCCTAAAGCCCTACACCCAAAAGCCTAAACGCGTGAGGAAGGTAGCGTCGCCTTCATGCTATGGATACTTGTCAGGTGACACACATGCTCATCTGACCTTTATCCATGCAAACCGTATGCACAGATATATATATATATATATATATATGTATGGATATAGAGATATGTGTGTATATATATATATACACATACATATATGCATATATAAATGTGTGTAGGTCTGTGCCTTTATTCGAGCGGAGCCGAAATAGACAGGCGCCCCTACTTATGCAAGCACACTGTTGTATACACACATTCACATATAAATGCACATACACATGTGTGCGCAGTGTTTATGTTATCTTTTCGTTCGTGGTTGCCCCATACCACATATGGATCTATGTGCAAAGATTCAGCACAGACGTCAGGCAACGCATTGGCAAGAAGATTGGAGATGGATGGATGGGTAGATCGAAGTTAACCCTAAACCCTAGACCCTTATCCATAAACCCTAAGTTATTGGTTAGGTTCAAAGATACAGATGGAGAGGCATTTGGATAGAACAAACGACACGCTTCTTGTCTATCTCTCTCTCGCTCTCTCGCTCCCTCTCTCTCTGTCACGATCCCTTCACAGGTACGTTTACAGGATTTATTCTGTTTTTAAGGCTCAGGTGAAGCCAGAGTCAGCCAAAGTCGTCTGGCCAAGGGATAGACTCAGACTTCATACGGTGATGATGACAACCTAAGCTACGGTGCAGGATTTAGGGTTTGCGCCCACCCCTTTACCCGCAAGACAAAGGGACGTGACAACGTGATGTTAGAGCATCTGGACACTGCCCATGACGCATATCCGAAAAGCTTACCGACACAGGAAGAACGATCGTCCTATCTGGTGGAGCTTCTACTCGTGGCTGCCACGCTCGAAATCGAGTTCCGGCCTGTCAAGAGGACACCCTGGGGAGCGCACCGTCGGTTTTACGGTCTAGTGCTTGGGGATTAATATAGGAGCTTAAATAATTACCTACAATCTATGGGGTTCCTTATTATAATTATAGTATAATATACCCCAAAACCCTGTTCTCATTATTAAGGCCCCTACATGAAGGGGCTAGATCTGGCTTCAGGGTTCACAGGTTCCGACACCCAGAAAAGTCCGCCTCGCGGTGATGCGGATGACGATGATGATGGCGATGCTGACCTAAACCCTAAACCCTAAACCCTAAACCCGGTTTAGTGGTTTAGGGTTTAGGGTTTAGGGTTCAGCAGATGACCTCTGTTATGACGACCAAACGGGTAGTGATCGTGATGATAAGGGTGATGGTGATGATTTTGGGGATGATGATAATTGCCATGTCTCGACCCTAGACCCTAAACCCTAAACCCTAAACCCTGAACCCTAAACCCTAAACCCTAAATCCTGAACCATAAACCCTAAACCCTAAACCCAAAACCCTAAACCCTGATGATGAGTGCCATGGTCTCGACCCAAGGAAGCGATAGGATGAAATCTGTGTGCGCCATGTAGCGTACCCGGTCTGAAGGGAAGGGCACACAGCCTCGATCCCCTGGGTTTAGGGTTTAGGGTTTAGGGCCCCCTGATGACGTGCACGTGCGCAGTGCATGCAATTTGGGGTTTAGGGTTTGGGGTTTAGGGTTTAGGGTTTAGGGTAATGTGATC